AGAGCCGAAAGGAAGAATTCGCCAATTATTTATTCGCAGAGGTTCGAATGCAGTGTTCACTGAATAATATATATATATATATATATATATAAAAGTGTGTGTGCGTGTGTATGTGCGCACACACACAAACATACACATGGAAAATATTATTATCAAAATGTTTATAAGTAATATATATAATATATAAATATATAAATATATATATACATATGAATATATATATATAAATTTATATATATATAAATATATATATATATATATATATATGTTTATACTATATATATAAATTTGTGCTATTGTCACCCAAGTACTACGTCTATGACATTACCTATGCCATTTCTATATATATATATATACTTCGTGCTGTTGACATACTTGTACTAAAATCAATCATGCCACACCCTGACTTCGAGCATCTGGCAAAGTACGTACAGGTATCTCATCGAAAGGCGAATAAATACCATTGTTATAATTAAATACATTTATAGAACATATCTGTGCTATTTTTAGAACACATCTGTCCTATTTATAGAACGTACCTGTTCTATTTATAATTATACCTACCTGTGTTTTCCGCACTTCAACAGACGCCCACACTTCGTCTCAGTATCACAGGCAAAGTACGCAGGCGTGTCCAATCGCGCCACGTCAATGAGCCCCTCCCCACATTGGGCCGTACGTTCCGTTTTCCCACAATAGCAGCACTGTGGTAGATATAAATATAAATTTATATATATATATATATACATTAGAAAATATTTGTATAGGATACTTGCATGAATGTCAATATGTGAGGCTCGTTGCGTGATAATCCGTCATTGGCATTGCGATGCAGCCTTTTCTAACCTAGGAGAAGATGAGCATATCTCGACTATACCAACACACAGAGGTGAACAAATGACAACACATATACATACATACACACACACACACATATATATATATATATATATATATATATGTATTCACAAATTCACATACATATCTGTACCATGTAGTGCATACGAATATGTTCGTACCAACACCTACCTGTTGTTCCGTGCGATCACACGGTCGACAGGGTTTCGCATGACACCCATCCTGGCACTCATGCTTAGAACAGTTCAGCAGCTTACCACATGCCTTATCACACACCACCCCACCCTCATCCAGCCCTTCCAACAGCGCCAGCTCTGCACACAGCACTTTTCTCGACGTTGTATTGCACAGACACCTCGCTACCGTATACAGTTCACAGGGAGGACAGGGCCCGGGATGACAGGCAATGGCGCACAGATGCTTGCAGCGGCTGCGTGCGAGTGCCATGGCTTTGTTTTCGACAGCACTGTATTTGTCCAGACGCTTCTTGCACACACGCTCGCAGGTGTGGGGTGTGCTGTATGGGTCCCAGTCTGGGTTGGTGGTTTGGCAGCAGAAGCAAGTGTATCGCGTGGGGATGTGCGTGTTCTTGGTTTGACAGCCGGGACATCGCCAGCTACCATCTGACGGAGTGCTGTAAAAAGTGAAGAAAAAAAAGTATATATATAAATATATAAATATATAAATATATAAAAATATGAATATACAAATATATGAATATATATATATATATAAATATATATATATACAATAAAGGTATAGATATAGATATAGATATAG